TAGAAATTACAAGCGGAATTTTTACTAACGATACACTTAAAACTGATTTCATTTTTAATTTAAAAGTTTAATACATGAAAGAGTATATTTTTAGTTGTTAAAAACTATGAAATTGAAAAATCCCTACAATTTGACAATAGTAAGAAATCTTTCCCTTTTTCCCTACACGTGAAATTTTTGAAAAAAATCCCTACAAAAAGGGAAAAATCCCTACACTTGGCATCACTGCATAGGATCTATGTAGTTCTACCCACTGTTTCGTTATTTCATATTTTTCATTCGGCCCTCATTGTGTCGAATGGTTCTGCGTTCGTCAAATTAACTACGTCGAGCTCCCTTCCTTTTTAAACAAGTAAATTCGCTTTTTCGTTGCCGACAACTCTCGAGTGTCTTGGTAGCCGTATCATGCAGAGCTTACCTCTTTATGAGTATTCGGTTAAAGCTGTCTTACAAACCAATACGATCTTAGATTTAACTTGAAATAAATATGTTAATGCTTGCCAGCCAAGGGATTCTTATATAGGGGATAGAGTCAATTATGGTCCGATTCTCATAAAAGTACGTGGAGGAGGTGTTCACTCGTAAGAAATTTACTTGTGTAAAATTTCATCGCTATACTCGTACTTTTTAGCCAGTAATGAGTGTTAAAGTAATTTTTGGAGACATGGGGCCAATCTTCCAAAAAAAAAAAAAAAATTGGTAGAAAGATTTTGGCTTGCATAAAACTGATGTGTGACGAATTACATCGCAATAGTCGTAATAATGAGCGTTATAGTCATTTTCTGAAGGGGACCTTATATGGTTGGGTATGGCCAATTATGGAACGATTCTCATACAATATTGATAGGATTTAATAAGGATTCAGAATATATATACTTTTGTGGGCCTATGACCAATATTTCGATGTGTTACAAACAGAATGACAAAATCAATATACCCCATTGAAGGTGGTTATAAAAAGGTGGCACTGAATCACAATGATTCTCCCCAAACTTTATGGTGAATGTGTTTAAATCTGATCAGATTATCACAGGGAACTTGTACCGAATCCAACTGATTTATTTAAAGCTCCCAGAATACGAGGGCTAGATATGCAAGCCCAACATATAGAATATTACGCCTCATGTAGCAATAAGTACCTTAGAAACTTTGTAATAAGTAGTGGTTAAGAAGCCTTACGGTTCAGACCGTCCGACCACTATTTATTTCGATCGTTAAAAAACTTATTCTCGGAAAAACTTCACTTCAGAACAGAGTATCCGAAAGTAGTAGAGTATCATGGCCTCAAAAGATGAGCAGTTCTTTAGGCGCTGAATTTGAATTTGTTAATTTAATTTAATGCATTTGAAAAGTATTAAAATTCCAAATATCATAGAAATTTAATATTTATGCCCATAATGCTAAATATGTACATATATAAAAAGTTACTCCCTAAACATTCTCCTTTTAATATCACTAGTAGTTTATGAAGTGCGATATAATTTGTTAAATTTTTTTCTCAGTACTATTGCCAAGAATAGTTTTTAAATTTGACAGATTACCACGATTACCAGTTCAGTGTCTATTTGTTGTTTAGAAATGAGTTGTGTTAAGCTGATCTGTGTAATTTTCTCATTAGTAATACTCTCAAGATTTTTTTCTTATAGTTATTGTTGTTGTAACACGAGTATTTAGAAATTGCATTATAATTTTTTTTTTATTTATTTTACTTTTTTGTGTCATTTTACTTCCATAGTTGCATATTTTATGAGATTATTTTTATGCTGTTGCTATTGTATCTCTCAGATTATTGTTGTGGTGTTTTTTTTATAATTTAAAATTTTTATTTTAAAATATTTTAAAGAAATTTCAGAAAAAAATAATCCAAGGTAAATTTTGTTAAAAGTAGGTGAAATTTTTATTTGTATTTTGTTACAAAAAGAGAAATTTTGTGGAAAATTTTAAGTAAATAATTTGTGATTTAATAAACAATTTATGAGCTCTACAAAAGAACTTAATTAAGTCTGAGATATTGATCGAAAGATAATTAAAATTATGTCTGAATGTATACATTTATGTGTGTATACCCTCCCATATAGCAATTCCTGTTTTTGTCTTTAATTTAATTAGATGAAAAGGAAAAAGTTTTAAGTTTTACTTTTCAACAAAAGAACAATATATAATTTATAATAATTTAAATACAAAAACAGGCCTTTTAATGTCTTCCTATCATGCGATTGGAAAATGCGTTTAATTTATTTGAAAATGCTTAATGCACAATGAAGTAATAACTGCAATATGCATGATTAGACTATGTAAATATTATTGGAATAATATTTCAAAAAAGGGAAACAGGAAACTGTAATTGTTAGTATGTAATTTTATTAAAATTACAAGAAAATTTTATAAAATTCATGTGGAGTGTGTGAAAATTAAAAGTAACCTAAATAAGGTATTCCCACCGAAAATAAAAGCTTGTTTCATTGCACAGTGGGGCATAACGGACATTTTTAGAATAAATGGCTGACGTTTGTAGGCTAGGTCAATGGAAATCCGGTAATTCCCAAAAATTGTAGCGAAAATCCTAAAAATATAATTTTTTACAATTTTGTCCATAGGATCCACATTTCTTTCAGGGGTAGAAAAATATTTTAGGAATAAATAGGGAACATATCTAGGTTTCCAAAACTGGTTCCCGTTTTCTGATTCCAGCTTTGGAATTTTGAGAACATATGGCCCAAAGTTGAAATTTTGATTTAAAAATATAGTTCAAATTCGGCACAAGCAAAAAATATAAATGTTCCTTAAGAAATTTTTTTAAATAAAAAAGTGTCATGACTTTTTCATCCAAAAACAGCTAAAATCATAAATTTTTTGGTTTTAAGATTGAAAATCATTTATTATTGGATCCATAAATGATATAGCTCAAAATTTTTGGTATACACAGAGGGAAAAGGAAATATACACGCCTGGTACCAAACTGACACCAAAGAGTTTATAATTTTTCAATAACATCCGTTGTCAAAGTATATCCTTACGAACGACAACACTATGCAGTGATGCCAGGAGATTTTTTTCAGAAATCCCTACGCTTATGAGAAAAAATCCCTTTTTTCCCTACACCCACTTTTTATTTTCCCTACATTTTTCCCTACACTACTTTTTTCCATTTTATTCAAAGTTTATCTTAAAAAAATACAAAAATAACATCAAAAACTAAAATATTAGCACGTTTTATAATATACATATGTATATGTATGTATTTTTTTTTAATTTTTAGGAATGAAATTTCTAGAATTTAAATTTTAATTTTTTTTTCTTTCAATTTTACATCATACAAATCTTCCAACCCTGACTCTTCAGTTAAGATTAAAAAAAAACAATTGAAAGATTTATGGCAGTATATCGAATCGTGATAAAAATTTATTTTATGTGCCTCCAACAAAAAAATGTTCATAAAATAATTATTTTAAATAAGGTTTACTTTTTGCGGTTTACTTTTATAAATTTTCAGAACATTAAATTCATTTTTTCTATCCTGAGTTACTGCATTAAGCCCCCGACTACTCTATCTATAAGGAGTCAGAATATATCGCCCTACAGGATTGGCATAATCCAAAAAGTCGTTTCAAGAAAAATGGATATGAATATTTAATGACATTTAACTATTTTTTTAATAACTTTTAAACAAATCAAGGGGTTTTAAAAATCCAGATTCAGATAGTTGAGGTTAATATGTTTCTCATCTAAATTGAAATTAAATTTTTAGTTGTCTAATATTCACAAAAACGTGGGTTTTAGTTTTTACGTTTACAAAAAATCGATTTCACATCGAAAATAATAGACATATTTGAAATTTCATAAATCTATATGAAAGATTTTAGTATGTCGCATGTTTTGAAGACCTTAGTTCAAGAAAGCCGAATTTTGGATTATGCCAGTCTTGTAGCGATATGTAGGTACATATATTGTAGAAATTACAAGCGGAATTTTTACTAACGATACACTTAAAACTGATTTCATTTTTAATTTAAAAGTTTAATACATGAAAGAGTATATTTTTAGTTGTTAAAAACTATGAAATTGAAAAATCCCTACAATTTGACAATAGTAAGAAATCTTTCCCTTTTTCCCTACACGTGAAATTTTTGAAAAAAATCCCTACAAAAAGGGAAAAATCCCTACACTTGGCATCACTGACACTATGTAATGTTGACACCATTGCAACAATTCGTTGTTGAAATCTAAATTTTATACACATCCGTTGTCTAAATATTAACAAATGTGGTAAGCTCACTGTTGACAAACAATCCGTTGCCAATAGTGAGCTTACCACGTTTGTTAACATTTAGACAACGGATGTGTATAAAATTTACATTTCGACAACGAATTGTTGCAATGTTGACAACGTTGCGTTGTCAACATTAGTGTTATAGTACGTATGTATATACTTTGACAACGGATGTTATTGAAAAATTATAAACAGTTTGTTGTCAATTTGGTACCAGTCGTATATTTTTCTGTCTGTGTATTATTGGTAATTTAGATTGTCTAATCAACGCCCTACCAAGGTATGGCACAATTTTTAAATTTCTAGCCGAGCGCTTTCCAAAATTATAAAAATCTTTGATGTAGGATAACAAAATTTTACAAATCGATGGTAACATACTTTAAGCCTCCATATCGCAGCCCCTGGAACATTTGTGGGGTCCATTTTCAAAACTTAAACTCTAATACTTCGTGCCTACGGATGGAAACATGCGTGCCATGCATTTAATATTTGTAAATATCGAAGGTACCATACTTTTAACGCCATAGCGTTAAACTCAAACGCTACGTCCATGTCAAATCTTGTCACGATCGAACTATTCGTTTAGAAATGCTATACCGATGTTAAAATAATATTTTTCGAAAAATTCATCTTCCTAGGTCCCTTTCTTTGGGTTCTACCGTGCCTTCAACATGTTATAAATGTTGTTTATACCCAACATATTAATTCTATATCCTTCTATTCCTTCTAGGTCATCCTGGTTGTGCCTTTCACGATGGCGTTTCGGCGGAAAGTGAAGGTGTACGTTTCATACGTCTACGTGAAGACGCTGAAACGGGTAAAGAAATCCTAACACTTAAAGCCTATCCACGTTCCAAAATCGCTCTACAATCTTCCGATAATTCAGGAGATCATAAATATTTTGCCATACATGAATTGAATACCACCTCAGTGGTAGTAACACTAACAAGATCTCTGGAAGATCTTGTTGACAGAGATGTGCCAAAAAATCTACTAAAATTTCGCATAATATGTGCGGCTAAAAATGAAAAATTAGAAGAGGGAAGCTATCTCTCTGTAACAGTGTATATAGAAGATGTTAATGATAATAAACCAGAATTTCTCAATACACCCTATATAGTGGATATAGATGAGAATACACCACCCGGCACAATAGTATTTGAGGGTATACAGGCATTTGATCGTGATAAACCGAATACTCCTAACTCGGAGGTACATTTCAGTATGTCTACTGTGCCGGAACAGTTGTCAGCCGATGGTAGTCCTTATTTTGCCTTGAAAAGTCCTCATAGACCTTTGTTGATTTTGAAAAAGGAATTGGATTTTGATAATGGCATACGTTTATTTAGTCTACCATTATTTGCCTGGGATCGTGGCACTCCAGCAAATCAGGTTAATACTACTATTACGATAAATGTTAAAGATGTCGATGATCTGCCGCCCAAATTTACAGAAGGTGTATACCGTACAAAGATCAATGAATTTTATCCAATGACGGTAAGAGTTTTTTGTAAAGATAATCTTTTTTGTTTCTTTCTTAAATTTAATTCTTTATAGGGCATGCCCATAAGAATTCCCTTGTATTTTGATCCACCTATAATGGCTTTTGATCAGGATTCTTTAAATGCTACTTTAGTTTACGATATAATATCGGGCAATGAACGTAAATTATTTCGTGTTAATCCCCATAATGGCATAATGTATTTGCAAAAGGAAATCGATTTGGAAGAGGAAAGTTTACCGGGAAATACTTTTGTTTTGCAAATTGAAGCTAGACAGAAGGATAATCCTTTAAAGAAGGCTTTGGCAAGGTAAGTGAATTTAGTAATATTTCTTTTGATACCCTCCATCTATAACTATTAGGAGTATATAGATTCATTGAATTACAAATGCCGCTTGTAATTCAATGAAATATTGGCGGAAGGAGCTAAGATGCAGAAATTTGCTTCAGTTAGTTTGGTACTGAAAATGGACATCATCGGTCCACATTACTGCTACCCCTCATATAAATATCCTCAAGAAATACTTATAAAAATGTTAATAATTCATCAATCTTGTTAAAATTTTGAACAAATTATTATATTGGACAATTTGGACCCCATACATATGTATGACCCTAGCCCCCATGAACGATCAAATATGTAAATGTTTTGAAAATTATCGTATTCATATAAAATTCCACAAAATTTATTGTAACTAAAAATCGCTTTATGAAATTCTGAAAAAGCTTTAAAACAAAAAAACTTTAAAATTATTTTATTGCATTTATCTTTTAGAATCGAAGTGGAAATCCTTGATCTTAACGATAATGTTCCCGAATTTGAAGCTGATTTTTACAACATTTCTATTGTGGAAAATTTACCCACCGGCTTCAGTGTTCTGCAAGTCAATGCTATCGATCGTGATCAAGGAGAAAATGCCGAATTTCTTTATAATCTCAGAGAAGAACCTGAAGCTAGCGGAGCTTTTCGCATTGATTCTCGTTCCGGTTGGATTACTGTACGCGATGATCGTTTATTAGATCGTGAACAACGTAAATCGGTCCATCTAGAAGTAGAGGCTCTGGAGCGTACACCCTCATACATGGAGGATATTAATCTTAAGAGACCAGGACCGAGTAAAGTTAAGGTGGAAATAACACTGCTCGATCAAAATGATAATACGCCAAAGTTTGAACATGGAAACTTGTATGAATTTAAAGTACCCATCACAGCCACAGTGGGTTATGTGATAGGTCAGGTTGTGGCATTGGATCCCGATGAAGGTCCCAATGGTATGTTGTTGTATGAGCTGCAAAGACCCAAGAAAAGTGGTTACATACCATTTCGTTTGGATAATAAAAATGGTACCATCTATGTGGCTGGACCATTGAGAAGGGGAAGAATAGCGGTGTTTGTGGAGGCCAGTGATCAGGTTAGTAAAATTGGCGGGCATGGTTTTTCTATAATTTAATACATCTCTTTTATTTTTTAGCCTTTAAATCCTTCTGAAAGACGTTTCTCTTTGGCTGTTATAACCATTGAAGTTTATGCCACCATTGATGATCAGGCTATAGATTTTATAGGAGCACCTTATGAATTTTGGGTAGGAGCTAGTGCTCCTTTGGGCACTTCAGTGGGCCAGGTGCGTACTACCCTAATTTACGAGGGTGAAGATGAAATTATGTATGATCTTTTGCATACCTATTCGGAAGGAGTACCCTTTGCCATAGAAGAAAGATCGGGTATTATTACAGTTATCAGAGAATTGTCAGAATTCACTCGCAAAATTTATTATTTTGAGGCAGTGGCTAACTATGTAAGTTATTAGAAATAAAGCTATAATTTAAAAGTTTATTTTAAAAAAACTTAAAAACTTTTAGCTTTTTGCCAACTCTACACAACCTTTAAAAATGTCGCGCAGTTCTCAGCCCTTGACTACTGTACCGGCCCCCGATTTAACCGATGAAGGAGTGTTAATAACAAATGTTACCATACATGTGGTAACAAAACCTGAAGCTCGTATTCCTCTTAGGCCAGTTATAGAGTAAGTTGTGCCGCTTTATTGTAAAGAAAATGTTTCCTATTGATAATAATATTTGTTTTCAGAGAAATTAACATGAACATTATAAAATTCCACATTGAAGAAAACATAGTCGGAGGCATAATTGGCCAGTTATTGTATAAAAATGGCATAAATATTGTTAACAATGATTTGGAATCCTATAGAAGTCTTCCCGCAGAAACCAATGTTACTCTAAATTCCCGATTTCGTAGCAGAAATCAAAGACAACAAATACGCAAACGTTTGCCTAGACGTTTAGTCCAGGATAATAATATAAAACTGCGCTATATTATAGCCAATCAGCAGGAAGTTATTAATAAAATTACCATAACCGAAGATGGCACTTTGCTGACCTTAACCGGTTTGGATCGAGAGCTAAAAGATAAATATGACCTGACAGTTATAGTGGAATACACAACCGGTTTGGTGAGTGGTGCTGGTATTTATCAAGTAGAAATTAAAGTTGATGATGTCAATGATAATGCTCCAGAATTTGGTGATGTCACATATATGGGTTTGATTAAGGAGAATAGCGCAAGAGGTTTGGAAGTGGCCCTAAACAAGCCTGTTCTTATATCTGATAAAGATTTGGGTAAAAATGCTGAATTTAAAGTGGTCTTACAAGGCGATTATAGTGAAATGTTTAAAGTGGAACTGGTAAATCAAGATAATGCCACCGTTTTAAATACTCCACAAATATTTGATGTCTATAATTTAACCGAACAATGGAAAGAAGATTTTAGATATCTGGAAATGCAAACCGATTTAAAACCCATCAATGTGAAAATGAACAATCAGCCATTCTTCAAAATTTCTTACTCAGGCATTAAGCCTTTAGATCGTGAAAAGGAACAAATTTACTCCCTCAAAATTTTAGCTGTTGACAGCGGCGGTCTAACTTCTTATGCCAATTTGAATATTCTTATAGCAGATGTTAATGACAATGCTCCCATGTTTGAGAGGATATCAGTGTTCAAAGACTCCAAAGTGGAGATAAGGGAATATACCAATGATATGGAAATATATTTTGTGGAATCATCTACCAATCTAATGCCTACCATGGCTGCTTTGTCTTCAAATATAGTAATTCCTCCCTATTTCTTACCCGGTTCTCCCCGTTTGCATACCGCAGAAGGTAGCTTCAATAACACCCAAGCAGCAAGACCAAGATCTAGATCTAGAATGCGTGCTAGATCTAGGATAACTAGAGCCATGTTACCTTTACATAAATGTCCTTTATTTGCCGTCTATGAGGATACTCCAGTTTTAACCAAAATTCTGCAAGTTACCGCCACAGATGAAGATTTTGGTCGTAATGCCCAAATACATTACGAAGTGACCGCGGAACATGTAGATCGCTTAACACCACTCCAATTAAGCAATAAACACCATAATATTAAATATTTTGCCATAGACAAATTAACGGGAGAGGTATTAGTGAACTATCCCCTAATAGCCAACGTTGAAATTATGCTGAATATCACCGCCTCCGATATTGATAATCTACAAGATACTACCTGTTTACGATTTGTGGTCATAGATGTTAATAATCATGCTCCGGTCTTTAAGAAATCTTGGTATAGTTTTGATACACAAGAGGGAGACTATAAAGATTCGGTATTGGGTCAAGTGGTAGCGGTAGATTTGGATTTTGGCGAAAACTCCAATATTTCGTATTCTCTCAGTGAAACAGATTTGCCATTTAGAATTAAACCCGTATCGGGTGTCATTAAGATAATATCATATTTGGATAGAGAAATCAGAGACAAGTATACATTCCAGGTCATAGCCACAGATAATGCTGAGCCGTTATACCGGCTCTCCTCTTACGTAGAGGTGGAGGTTAATGTTTTGGATTTAAATGACAATAAACCTGAATTTATTGGTTACGATGATGTTACCAAGGCTGAGTTATATATACCAGATGTAGCGGATAGAACTATGAAGGTGCCTTTGTATAAGGCCTTCTTGGATCGTAATACCAAACCGGGCATGTTTGTTAAACAAGTTAATGCCATAGACAAGGACTACATAGGCAATGGCAATGGTTTGGTGTTGTATTCTTTGTTGCATCAAGAAGGTCATGGAGTACCAGTGTTCCATATAGATTCCCGGGAAGGTTCCATTACCACCATTAGCAATTTTAAAGGCTACAATGATTATGAACATTTAAATGTCACGGTCATAGCTGCAGATTTAGGCAGCCCTTCTCTAAGCTCCACGGCCATAGTATTGGTTAACCTGCAGGGTCAAGCAATAATAGAAACCACCACTCCTAAACCGGAAGAAGTTTTAAATTTTCAAAATGTTTCCCTATTCCAACATCAATACTATGAAATACAACTATTGGAGAATAATGAAGAACCCACCGAACTTTTGAAAATAAACTTTACTAAGGATTTTAATCCAGAATCATTGCGCTGGTCTTTATGGGTGGAGCAGGGTTTAGAAAACCAAGAAGAGAGTCAGGAACTATTTGAATTTGACGCCAAAACTTCAACTCTGTATGCCTTAAAATCATTCGATCGTGAACAAAATGATCATTACCAATTGCGTCTTAAAGGCGAGAAACCAAATCGTGAGGCTCGAACATATACCCATTTATCCTATCCCGTTATCGATGAACGTTTAGAGGGCTTGGAGAACAACGAATGTCGTTTGGTGTTGAAAATTCTAGATGAAAATGATAATGCTCCCAAATTTAAACAATCCGGTCAACCCATCATATCTGTTGTACCTCGTTCAGCAACATTTGGTTATCCCATTACTCGAGTTGAAGCTATTGATCCTGATTTGGGCCTGAATTCCGAAATACGTTATCGTTTACTCAATGAACATTCACATCTTTTTGGTATTGATGAGACTACGGGCAAAATTCGTTTGATTGCCAATATAGAACCTTCCAATGATCGTGTTTATGGTTTTGATGTTAAGGCCACAGATCGTGCTGGAGCTGATGATGGTCGCAGTAGTATTGTAAATGTTTTTGTTTATATTATCGATGAAAAGAAACAAGTGCGTATTGTGGTGGCCGGCAAACCGGTAGATGTGGAGAAGAAAATCGATGCTTTAATGCAGGGCCTAAGTGAGGCCATTGGTATGGAAGTCAGAGTGCGTTTGTTGGAACCTCATATTGGTGGTTTGGAACCGGCGTAAGTGTTAAAGTTTAATTATATTTTTTTTCTAATTTGTTTTCATATTTAAAAAAGCTATTTTTTAAGTAAAAAATTTTTAGATTTCAAAAACATTTTTTAAAAAAAGTCCATTTGGAAATATTATTATAGAAATTTTTAAGTTTTGAAATATTTTTTCATAAAAATTTTCTGAAAAATTAGATTAGATTTTTCTTAAAATATTCAAAACTTGCATTTTTAAAACTTTCAGTATTGAAATCATAAATAAAATTTTTGTTTTTTATTGAAAAAATTTAGATTTTTCTTAAAATATTAAAAACTTTGATTTTTATAAATTTCTGTATTGATTTTTTTTATATTAAACAATTTTTTTAAATAATTATTTGCTATTTAAAATTTTTACAGAAAAATATTTTTTATATAAAAAATTCGATAATGAAATATTTAATAGAAAAATTTTAAATTTTTTGAAAAACAAACTGGTTTTAGTTCTATTTATAAAAAATCGAGTTTGAATTTTTTTATAACAAAATTCGGTATTGAAATTTTTAATAGAAAAATGTTATAATTAAAAAAATTTTAGAAAAAAATTTGTATTTTTGAAAATTTTTTATAATATTTTTATACAACTTTTAAAAGTTGTTTATTTTATATATGTATTTTAATATTTTATAGCACCGATGCCTATATTTATGCCGTCGATTATCGCTCGAATTCTGTAGTTGAAATGGAACAGCTACAAGAGTAAGTTTGATTTTCAACAGATTTTGAACAGAACCCTAATAAAATATTATAATTATTAATTATAGATCTCTGGCTGCCATACAACTTGACACGCTACAACATCATCAACAACAACAACTTTTACAAAACAATCCCAATGGTCCCTGGGATTCTAGTAAGGCAATGCCACGTATTATAGAATTAGCCGAATTTGGACAATTGCCGCGCAAATCTACCCACAGTGCAACATTCTGGAGTAGTTTAGAAATAGTAGCCATTGTTCTGGTGGCATTTTGCGGCATAGGAGCAGCCCTCACAGCACTGTGTTTTATGTGTATGCGACAGAAAACGGTAAAAGAATTTATAAATTTAAATATTACGTTTTAATTACTAGTTTTTAAGAGCAACATTTTAATTTTATATTAAAACAGACTGATGATTTTACAATTTCCCACTTATTGCTAAAAATGAGAGCATTTTTAATTAAACTTAAGCATTTAGTACATAATGAAATATAGTAATTTATACAATTCAGAATAAAAACTGATCTTTACAAAAGAAAAGAGAGAATCTTGGAATTGTTGTTTTAATTATTTGTTTCATTGCAAAAGTTGGTTATTGGTAATAGTGACAATAACTCTAACTCCAACAACAATAATAATCAGTAATCTTTAGTTAATAAAAAAATAACGGTACTTTCTATATTAGTAAAAATTTAACCTCATTTTCGAAATGAACAAATAATAAAAATGCAATGATTGTTGTAACAACAACAGCAAAGCGTAAACAATTCTAAGCTTCTCTTGTAAAATCATACAAATATTCCAATAATGCCAACAATTTTCCTAGATAATTAACACTAAACAAACATGTTGCTGGTCGATGTTGCTCTCCTTTTAAACGCATTGTAAAATTCAATTTTTATTTTCTTTTTATCTCCTTGCCATAGTGGTCTTTGGTCACAACAAGAATTTCCATCATCCGAAACTGGTTTAACATATACTATAGCACGTGCTGGTCTAGATTCATGTCGTAGACGCCATCATCAAACACAAACAGTAACACAAGATCCACATCTTCAACAACTACAAAGACAAAGTCAACGTAAATATGCCAACTGCTTTTTTTTAATACATTTATATTCTATTTTCTTTCTAATTTTATTTGGAAAGTAGTTCCTTAAAAACAGTATTCATTTATTTTCCTTTACTCTTTTCTAGAATCATTGTGTTCTTCTGGCAAGACACAATCGACAGCGGTGGCAACACAAAAACTATCTCAAGACTGGTCAGCTGCCAAGCTGCAATCACCACAACATCATCAAACGCAACCTCTCAGTCAGTCTCATTCATCATTATCAAAACAGCATTCTTCATCATCTCACTATCATCATCAACATGCTCATCATCATCATTCCCATAATAATACTAATCAACAAACACAACAAGCTCAAAATAACACACAACATCAATATGTTCCTCAAATACAACATCAGCATCAACATCATCATCAGCATTTAAATAACGAGTGAGTAGAATAGATTTTTCTTTTTTTTTCCAATTTTTTATTTAATTTAAAATGGTTTGGTTTAAAAGTGGCACAATTTCTTTAATATAAAATATGACAAAAATCTATGGTTTTTATGGGGAATCTATGGCACGGATATAAAACTGTTATATATACTTATTAATTAATTTTTTAAAGTTATTGGTTATTTTACTTAAATGGGTAATATGGTTTTATGTAAATTTTTAAAAAATTTTAAAGAACTTATAAAGTTATATTCGAAAGAAAAATTACTTTTAGAATCTTTTAGAAAATTGTTTTATGAAATATGTAATAATTATACATATTCTCATTCAATTAAAAATTGTATGCTTCTATGTTCAATATTATACAAAATTCAAAAAGTTCCTTCTTGTAGATTCTCATTTAATAAGGAGTTCGAAACATGATTTTCGTTTACCCAATTTAGAAAATTCAATAAGTACCATTTGAATCATAACAAGTAAGAGTGTTATATTACCGACACATTCCGCATGAAATTCGGAGCGAATTTCATAACCGTATTTCATAACTCATATTTTTAAGCCAGTAATGATCGTTTAAGATATTTTCTAAAGGGGACATTGTGTGGGCGGTAGGGTAAATTATGGAAAGATCTTCCCTAAATTTAGTGGAGAGATTTTGGCACGCATTAAACTTATGTGCGTCAATTTTCGTCACTACATTCATACTTTTAAGCCAGTAATGAGCAGTATAGTTATTTGCAGAGAGGGACCTTATATGGGGGAAGGGTCATTTATGGGCCGATCCAAAAAAAAAAAATTGGTACAGAGATTTTGGCTCGTAAGAAACTTACGTGTGTAGCATTTCATCGCTTTACTCTTATTTTTAAGACAGTAATGAGCGTTAAAGCTATTTCCTGAAGTGGACCCAATAGGGGGAGAAGGGCCAATTATGGACCTATCCATAATAAAAGTTATTAAAAAGATTTTGGCTCGCGAGGAACTTAATTGTGTAAAATTTTATTGCTATATTCGTATTTTTTTAGCCAGTAATGAGCGTTAAAGTCATTTTCAGAAGGGAACCTTATATGGGGGATAGGGTCATTTATGGGCCGATCTTAAAAAAAATTCGTAGAGCGATTTCGGTTCGTAAGAAACTTACTTATACCGAATTTCATCGCTATACTCGCATTTTTGGACCAGTAATGAGTGTTAAAGTAATTTTCTAAAGGGGACCTTATATGAGGGGTAGGGTCAATTATGGACCGATCCTCAAAAAAAAAAGATTTTGGCTCACATGAAACTTATTTATGTCGAATTTCATCGCTATACTTGCATTTTGTGGCCAGTAATGAGTGTTAAAGTCATTTTCAGAAGGGGACCTTATATGGGGGGTAGGGTCATTTATGGGCCGATCCTAAAAAAAATTGGTTAAAAGGCTTTGGTTCGCAAGAAACTGACTTATACTGAATTTTATCGCTATACCCGAATTTTTAGGCCAGTAATGAGTGTTAAAGTCATTTTCTGAAAGGGACCTTATATGGGGGGTAGGGTCATTTATGGGCCGATCCTGAAAAAATTTGGTAGAAAGATTTTGGCTCATATAGAACTTATTTATGTCGAATTTCATCGCTATACTTGTACTTCTGAAGCAGTTATGCCCGTTGAAGCTGTTTTTTGGAGGTCCACTTGTATGGGGGCTATCCGAAAAAGTGGACCGATATTGCCCATTTTCAATACCAAACAAACCTTAACAATAGAGAATATTTGTGCAAAATTTCAACTGTCTAGCTCCTCTCATGTGGACCTATCGTGATTTCAACAGACAGACGGACAGACGGACGGACATGGCTAGATCGTCTTAGAATTTAATAAGGACCCGGAATATATATACTTTTATGGGTCTATGAGCAATATTTCGATGTGTTACAAACGGAATGACAAAATCAATATACCCCCCATCTTTTTTGATGGTGGGTATAAAAAGTACCAGAGAGTACCCTCTTTCAGATTTCAACTCAGTCTGGACTACATATGTTAATATGTATGAATCTAGGTTGAATATTATAGAAAATTGAAAAAAGTACAGTTTGAGGACGAAATAGTACCAAAAAGTACTATTTTAAAGGATCTCATTCAATAAGGGTGTCTGTTTATGTTTAATAATCATGTGTTTTGGGTTCATATTATAGAACATAAAAAGGTACTATATAAAGGACGAAAAAGTACCAAAGATTATCTATAAGATCTATATCTATGGGAGGTGTGATGTAATTTGCAAAAAACCAACACGAGCGAAGTACATCACATCCCAAAAGAGTTTATAGTTTCTCATTATGTAAAATAAAAAAGTACCGTTTGATGAACAAAAAGTACCAAAAATGTCTTATGGAACATACAAAAAGTACCATATGAAGAATGAAAAAGTACCAAAGAGTCACTTTTTATAGATTCTTATTAAATCATGTTAAATTTCATATTTCTAAGTTCAATATTAAAGAAAATACAAAAAGTATCATTTGCTGAACGAAAAAGAACTACAAATTTCCCTCTTAAGGATTCTTATTCAATCAAATCGATTGTATATTTTAGTTTCTATATTAATATTGTTAAAATTCAAAAAATACGCTTATAACAAAAACATAGTGGAATAAGTGTTTCCTTTCTGGAAAGTACCAACCGAATTACAAAATAACACACCAATGGCATATATAACACCATTCATCATTTTAACACATGAAAAAAACTATTTGTACAGGAAACTGTGGATCATTAGTATTAACTCTGTGTACTAAGTTTTTCACAATCAGCTCTTACGCCCCTGTTAAAGGTCCTTAATGTTAAAGAACATACGATTTCAAAAATGGAATTCCAAATGTATATAAAAAAATTCGGTATAAATATTAATATCAAATGAAGCTGAGAAATAATATTGTTTTATTTAAATTCATCAGGATTAAAAAAGAAATGGAAGCTGAAAGAAAATTTGTCACAAAGAAGTTTTTAAAAATGTTGATCCCGAAAATGAGACCTTTTTTAATTTTAATTTCTTTTTAGATTTTTTGTCTAAGTGAGTCAAATTAATAATATATATAAAATGTACAGATTCCCAGCTTTCATTTGATACCAATATTAGCATATTACAACACATAAAAATATTTAAAATAGTTGTTTGAAATTGTAAGTCCTTGGAACTTTGAAGTCTTTTCGTAAAGATATAAGAGCTGATTATAAAAAACGGAGTGTGCAGAATTGCTATAAATGAACTCTTGTTTCACATGCATATCAACTTTTCTATGTGTGAAAGCTTTTTTTCAAAATTGTTACAGGGTGTTATTGGTGTCTGATAATTTTAAGATATATATCCATTATATTTACAAACTAGTAGTTCCAAGGTTGCTGGTCAAAAATCTGAAGTTCCTTTTACATCCATTAAAAAACTACTTAATTTAAAAAAATCGTTTTTTTTTAGTTCTATTAATTTTAAGTGGTGACGGTTTATAAAAACTTTAAATTTTAAGTGCTTTAATGGTGTTTGGTATAAAAATAAATTAATAATGAAAATAAAATAAAACAAAAGAAGTCATTAACAAATCCATGTTATAGCCAAAGACAACGTGAATATATTGATGTTCCTTTACCCAAGTCTGTAGTTAAATCAGCAGCTTTAAGAAATGCCAATAATAATAGTTTGGATGATGATGTTAGTAATTCGTCACCATTTGTATTAAAATATAATGCCTGTCAGCCTGTAAATAATCTGTAAGTATCAGAAAATAAAGTATAAAGAAAACATTATATTAAATTTTACTCGTCAAAAGCTCTCCACATTCCTTTGAAACCTCCATGTTTTCATTACACTCCAATGGTCAGGATTCGGGTGTTGATTTTCTTAGCAGTCGTGAGCTATATGAAACTTCACCCGATTCTTTTGATTCTCAAGCACGCAAGGGCACTCATCAGTCGCTATGTCCGCGCCATGCCAAAGAACATCATATGACGTTAAAGCATAATAAAACGAATTTAATAACTGTCAACAGTAAAATGGATATTAATAATACCGATTCTAGGTATGTATGTAATTCAAAATTTTCATTTGATAAAATTTCTTTTAACATAATTTTTCATTTCATTATTCAAGTGACAACTATGAAGATTCTTTACAAAATGATGATGCCCTAGTAGTCACCAATTGTCGTTCCTTATGTGATCATCATTTGCAGCAACAACAGTTGCAGCAACGTCATCAAGATCTATATCAAAATTCCCAATTTGAGAAAAAGTCCTGTGTACGCCATTCGTTTTCGGGTGTTAAGGATGATTTAATGCAGAGTTCACCACGAATATCTTTAAGATCACGTGGCCATATTTTACGTAATTCTATGAATGATTTAGAAGAACGTCTGCACAATTTGGAACAGTCATTTAAGAGACCTTTAGATTATGCTAGCAGTAGTAGTAAAACTAATAATACTATAAATAATTCTTTAAAGTTTTAGTTTAAATAATTGAATAATATTAATGTAAATTAGTTGTGCAATATTTCTAATTAAAATTAGTTTTAATATTAAGAATTGTGTATTAAAAGTTAGCGTAAAGTACCTGTTACGTAGAGGACAAACGACAAATTTGTAATATAAATCTATATATGTATAGTAGTTAAATAATTTGTAATTTATTTAATTTTTAATATAAATGCTTGTCTTTAAAATTAAAAAAAAAAATGAGAAACTATCTTTTAAATAATGGAATTGAGCCTTTGCAATACGTTTATGTTAAAGTACTTTTGTACCTCTTCTGCCATCACTGATAGTTGTTGGTGAGAGAGTTAGTATGATTCTTATACATATTGTCTCTTGATTTCCTCTTTATAAGAGCTATAAATGAATGTAATCATTCGATCGATTTTATTCTTACTAGATGCAAATTGTTTTCCTGATTTAGTGATCTTTCATTTCGAAAACTAATTTTAGTAAAAAATCTAGATAAGTAACTTCATTGATATTAAATGTCATAATA